CGCACAGTCCTGTCCTTGCTGATTTCTGATTTCCACTGTTACACAGTCACGCTCGTCATAACATTGTTCTCCTTCAGCATTTCTTGTTGTCAAAACAAATTGTGCTTCAAGTCCGACGACAGCTTCATTGATTCCTTTTCCTTCGGCATTTGATTGCTCCGCACTAGTCTTGGGAAAGTAGGTTTTGAAAGAGCCGATTCCTTCAGTGATTGTTTTCTCTAGTAATGTTTCGTTTTCCACGAAAATAAATCGTCGAAGACCTTCAAGGTTACGCTCGACTTCCTCTTCTTCACGTCTGACTCCTTCTTGAAAGATTGTTTTTAATGTCTTCTCTAACTGTGCTATCTCGGGGTTTGTGCTTCGTTTTAGAATTGTTTCAGTTTTTTCAATTCCAGTCTCAATCTTTTGAGCTTGTTGTTCAATCTCATTCCTTTGTGTTCCCAGTCGCTGGAGTGATTGTTTTCCTTGATTTTCAACTTCATGAATGATCTCCTGTTTCTTGGCCTCGATAACAGCAAATATGTTATCAGCAAACTGTTCCACGCTTCTTTTCACATTGGCGACTTCCCCTTGAATTTTTGCACAATGCTGGTCGATTTGCAAGATTCTATTTCTCATCTGCTGCGCAATTTCCTTTTGAGATTCAATCACGGACTTCGCCTCTGCCTTTCTTTCATTTGCCGCTTCTTCCAAAAGTATTTTGATGTGGCCGTCGCCATGAATGGTTGCAAAACAAGAGTTGCAAATAGGTTCTTCACAGTTCTTACAAAAGAATTCCAGTTCCTTCTTTTCGTGCCCTGGCTTTCCGCAAAATGCTGGTCGCTTTAACACGTCCTCGATGTCTTGATCTTGGAAGTCTTTAATCGCCAACACTCGGTGTTCTTTATAAAGCCGGATTATGTTGTGCGCGGTAATACAGTCGTCACACCAGAATGCACAACACTGGAAGCAGTACAAACTGTGGGTGCTTTTCTTGTCACAGTTTCCACATTTGACACCTGTAGTGCTACACTCTTGGATAGCCAACACATCTAGCAAACTGTTAATGCGAAAGTTGGTCTGCAGATCCTTCAAGTTTCTATTGCTAGGGACTCTACTCTCTCTTCTACATTCCGGGCATGTAATGACATCATGGCGGCCACTCGTTCGTAGAATTCCTTCCAAGCAGTGAAGGCAAAAACTGTGTAAACATGGGAGCATTTTTGGATCTTTGAATGTGGTCATGCACACAGAACAGGATACTTCTTCATGAAGATTGTTTAGCAAGGTTTTTATATCCATGAATATTGAAAGGCGGAAAACAGGGAGGGTTTGCAGTTGTGAACGAATTTAACAATGAAGTCTTGTGATCGAGCGTCTAATTAACCTTGTTTATAGACATGTTTGACATGCACAATTTGTAAGAATTGTGAATTGTGATGAGTTAGCTTGACCTTATTCACATCATGTTGTGTCAGTTCGCTAAATGCTCGGAATAGTTGAAAGAAGACAGTGAATGAATTTGTGATATTGACGAATCACAGAGCGTTATTAGAGGTGTCAGTTTTCATATCACACGACTTCTAAAAATAATTACAGGATGAGCCAACATTTCTGAAAATTGTGATCAGGATTCTTTAACCTTATAAACTTAAAAGGCTGTTAATAGGTGGTAAACGGAGAGGATTTGTACACCTTTGGAAAAGCACACTTGCACTAAGTGACCTACATTGTAAGTGGTTATTTGAAAACAGCCTCCAGGATTGTTTCTCCTTTATTATTCAAAGTTTTAAACGACCGTGGGATTAAAATAACAATTTCCCTCGTTAGCATAAGAAAAAAGGATTCTTTCACACAACGCCGCAGAAATTTGTTCGAAAACGGAGGTTTGACTCTAAAATCGCATCAATTGTTTTCCGTCCGCACTACTTAGGAGATACTCGAGTGTAGTGGTGCGATTGTCGTGATGTCATCGTTTTCAAAAAGCTGCGTTTCAAACGCAAAAGCAAAGTCTTCTTTTTTAAATTCCTCCGTTATGAAGAGCGGTTATGAAAAGCTCCGTTTTCACGATCGGTCGACAGTTTATTTCTCCAGGTTCGTGTAAACGGTAGGCCAAACCTTCTCCGGCTCAGTGGACAATGAAGTCTTTACCGGTGATCAGGCGTTCGTTTTTTTTGCTTTTGTTTGTTTGTTTTTTTATATCAGAAAGAATGCCTGATCGCAGGTTAATGAAGTCTTGCCGGATTGAGCCTGACATTTGGAATCGAACGTGTTAAAAGTACCCATACCAAATTTCGAGCCTTAACCGAAATGGTGGGTTCTGCTGCAAGAACCTTCAAAATTGACTGTTTTTCAACCTGAAATTCCAGAATTTTTTTTTTGGATAGTGTAAAATGTTAAAAATTTAAATGGCTTTCAGCCGAAATTTGCAGAAGGTTATCATTATTCAATAACTACTGTGGTCACGTGGTACTCGTAGAGTTAGCTGCAGGGAGGGGTACCGGAGGGATGTGCCTATATTGGTTACCAGTTCCTTCACGCTTGATTGCGAGATTGGACACGATACTTCGTGCGTCAGTAGGAAACGGAACCTGTGACACAACCGAGCTGATGAGAACAATCTATCAAAGTGCTGCTTGTGGACGTCATTGATTTGGTTGAAAACAGATTAACTTGTTCTTGGTGTAGAGTTGAACCCCCATCTTGAAGATTACGACACGAAAAGGTTGCGATTCGGCGCCGTGTCAAGAAGTGTTTCGCGACAACTGTATGTACTTGTACAGAACATATTTCACGGTTAGTGATCTTTGAAGTCTGTGTGGCTGTGAACGATTTTCTCACGGAACATTTTTCTCCTCTTTTCATCTCTTGGTAGCTGCAGGATCGTGCTTTTATTTTTAAGGTGAGTTGCAACCGAGTTTTCGAAACGGATTAACAAGCTTTAGATAACACAAAATGTAAACTTCTTGCTAATATATAAGCTTATTTGCCGACACAAACAATGCACTGCAGACTTTTCAATAGACTTCTGTGTTTATATCAGTAATAATATTGTGCCTGTGCTTGAGATGGCTTTCGCGATTTATACACGCGAAGCATTACTGTGCAATTTTAGCTGCAACGGAGGCAATGTCATCGATGTTTAAGGCTCAATATCATGAAATATTCCATAGTCTTTATTTTGTTGATGTCATGGCAACTTAACCAACAATTTTGAAAAGAACCTTTCTGCAGTTTATTGTTTAAGAATTTAACAAAAGGCTAGCGGCTAATTGCCGTGAAAACCCAGCAAATACAAAACGACGTTATATCAAGAGACAAATTCAATCAAGAATGCAGTATTCAAAATGGAAAATTGTCCATTAATTTGTTTTTGCTCCATGTAGGTAGTTACAATATTTTGAGTGCAAATATTGCTTTAAGTTAAAAACACTGTAATTTTTCACTGCAAAGAAAATTATGCAATTAAAGAAAGTAAAAATTAAGTGCTTAATAAGCATTTGGAGCGTTTCTCAAATCTCATGGCTGACTGTTCAAGAAATAGAAAACATTTACTACTGTGTTCCTGTTTAGTTTTAGAATAAATCTACTAGCCTTCTATAATGAATGTCATTCTCTGATTGGCTATGCCACTCCTGTGTTTCTATTGAGTTTTAGAATAAATCTACTAGCGTTCTATAACGAATGCCATTCTCTGATTGGCTATGCCACTCACTATCTATTCTGTGGTAGATGGTGAGTAGCGTAGCAGTGAAACCTTGTTAACAAAATAATGGCCACTTCTTGGTGCCTTCGAAGTGTCAGTGATGAGGATTTAGATAATTAAATTTAGTAAGTTCTCCCAAACTTGCGTAAGTGTTTCTACAATGTGATTACATCTTAGTAGGAGAACAAGTTTTCTATTTCTTTTAGAAAATTCTGCGATGAAGAAAAGAAAATAACTTGTTTACTTTGATCTTCAAAATATAAATTCTCTTTGCTCGGGCCATCATTACGTCAACAGCTTGTACTAGTTCTGCGTTTTTAATCTATCGATTTATAGAAACATGATTTTAAACCAATCAGCGCNTGACTGTTCAAGAAATAGAAAACATTTACTACTGTGTTACTGTTGAGTTTTAGAATAAATCTACTAGCCTTCTATAATGAATGCCATTCTCTGATTGGCTATGCCACTCCTGTGTTTCTATTGAGTTTCGGAATAAATCTACTAGCGTTCTATAACGAATGCCATTCTCTGATTGGCTATGCCACTCGCTATCGATTCTGTGGTAGATAGTGGGTAGCGTAGCAGTGAAACCTTGTTAACAAAATAATGGCCACTTCTTGGTGCCTTCGAAGTGTCAGTGATGAGGATTTAGATAATTAAATTTTGAACGTCTAGTAAATTCATACCAAAACAATTAGATTATTTGCTCGTGACAGTTGACTCCGGCTGTGCCCTTGTCAACTATAGTGCAATAGAAATTTCGAGCTCATAATCTAATTGTTTAGGAAAAACAGGAATGGAAGTTTGGGAGAACAAGAAATGCTGTGGGAACTGAGCCAACAGGCAAGTGTTTTGGTCCACAGCATTGCAAGTTCTCCCAAACTTGCATAAGTGTTTCTACAACACGATTACAACTTAGTAGGAGAACAAGTTTTCTACTTCTTTTAGAAAATTCTGTGATGAAGAAAAGAAAATAACTTGTTCACTTTGATCTTCAAAATATAAATTCTCTTTGCTCGGGCCATCATTACGTCAACAGCTTGTACTAGTTCTGCGTTTTTAATCTATCGATTTATAGAAACATGATTTTAAACCAATCAGCGCACATATTTTCTATGGGATATTTTTCTAAATACATTTGTTATTACATGTATAGCTGAACTGGTCTGCAATGAAAAGGAAAATTCTTCTTGGTTTTCTTAGCAGTCTGAAGTTTGCAATATGAACCACTAAGCTGGGCTGCTCACACTTAATTTTGACAAATCACATTTTCAATTCATTCCACATAATAAATTTACAGTTTTTTTTGTTAAGTAGAAATCTTTTTATCTTCATGTCTGGAGGACAATAATTTTCGGTTTAATGTTCACAAAAGGGATGCGAGAAATGTAAATTTATGTAAATGCTTTCCTTTTAGTATGCATTAACTGACACTGTATTGTGGAGACACATCAATTTATCCACAGATAAAAAGAGCCACTATTAGTAATAAATACAGTCGAACCTGTATTAAGCGGTCACCCTTGGGGAATGCATAACTGAACACTTAATACAGGTTGACCGCCTAATACAGGTTGTCCCAAGAAAAACAGTTGAAACACAAGTACAATCAGTGCTGAAAAGACATTTGACCTCAAATTAGAAACATTCATTTCTGGCATTTTAATGATTTGCGAAAATAAACTAGGAAATTACTTGTTATACCTCTTGTGATACATCATTTCAAACTGTATAAACAAGTTATTGACACCGTGTGACTGTTTAATACAGGTAAAGACAATAGAAAAAGTCCCGTTGGGACTTCACAAATGGTGACCATGACTGCGTGTTTAATAGAGGTGATTACAGTAATTAAGGGAAGTGATTTTCGGGACTTTGAAAACTGACTGCTTAATAGAGGATGACAGCTCAATAGGGTGTCGCTTAATGCAGGTTCGACTGTGCTCTATTAAAGTAACTTGTTCAATCCATACTGTATAAGAGAATATTGGTCTCGCTGATTTTTTTGTGCATAAAGAGAGAACTTGACCAATGTTTCCCTGACCTCCTGCTCCGTCAACAGCTTGCGCTAGTTCAGTCTGTGTTTCTTTTGAGTTTTAGTATAAATCTACTGGCATTCTCTGATTTGCTATGCTACCTGATATCTATTCTGTGGTAGATAGTGAGTAGCATAGCAGCATGCCCTACTGGTAGATTTATACTAAAACAATTAGCTTATTTGCTCTCGATTTCTATTGTGTGATAGTTGACTCAGGCTGCACCCTTGTCAACTATCATGCGATAGAAATCTCGAGCTCATAATCTAATTGTTAAATAGATTAATAATGAAACAAATTAATTTTAAAACAATCAGTGTGCCTATTTTCTTTGTGCTATTTTCTAATTTATTAGACAAATGTATAATTGAGAAAAATACTGTAAGAACAGGCAGTGACTGTTAGTATTAATTTGCACTTCAATGCAAATTAATAATTAATCTGTAAGATGGCCTGCTGTCAGCCAATCACTGTGAATGAAGTAATTTCTTAAGTCGTGTATAATTTAAACCTGCTTTAATCTCTTTAAATCTGTTTAAATCTGTCTTAACACAACATTTTAATCTCTACCCAGTACATTTTATTGTTTATTTCTACTTGGAATTCTCTGAGTATCCTGGCCAATTTGAAGGCAATTGTACTTACACAGATTACTAGTGGCTTCTGACACATACCCAATTCTTTTTTGTTTCCCCCTAAAATGTAGAATTACTGAAGCTTTGAGAAAAGAAGTAACTAAAAGTCTTTTTTTGGTCTGGTATTTGTTCCTATGGGTTGTGGCTCCTCAACGGCAACTAGAACAGGTATGTCAGATACGTAAGATAATGATCATTACTGACAGTATGAGAACAAAATTAAAAATAAAAAGATGTCACTAGGAAACTGACTTTATTGCACACGTTTTATCTAGAAAATGAAGCAAAATCCAGCGAAAAAGATACAGGACATTGTTAACAGTCAGCTCAGAAACAAACTTGCAAGCAAAATTCGGAGTTGTTTTGGCAAATTATGTTCAATTTTAGCCAAAATTTATCGCTGCCGCCCTTTTTACATGGAGCCTTACATGTGTGAGTACATGTATAGGTTATCTTGTTGCTTGGTAACATTTCAAGATTGTTGTTAGATACCAGTTGACATACTTTTAACCAACTTGATGTAAGCCTGGAGTAAACATTTGGTTGAATCTTGACCTCCCAGTTTTGGCACAGTCATGTGGATTTGCTTCAGTCTGCAAAGTGTCTAATCAATCAATATTGTAAGAAGAGTCTTAAGGGAGGGTTTCACAGTTCGGTGCATGTCTCTAAATCAAAACACTTTTGTTTGCTTCTTACATGTATCAATGTTATCACTTCAAAACCCCCACTTAGATGTAGTTTGAATCTGTAATCACATTTCTATAGTTAGTCGTGGCAGAATGACGGGTGACCCAAATTCTTAGAAGATTTCAGTGGATTTTACAGACACTGTCAACCGTTGAATAAGTGTTGACCTGTGTGATTTATTCTATGGTGATGATTTTACAGCTATTTGCATGTGAAATTAGGTAACTTGCTTATGATTGGTTCATAAACAATGAAAAACTGGGCCTGTGCCAAAAAGCATGCACAGGGGAATAAATAATACAGGCATGTGCCGAACTGTGAGACTCTCCATTTAAATTTTGCTGACTTAGTTTTATTAATAAAGGGGATTCCCTTGAATTACACTGCACATTCTTGTGTACAAATTTTCAACAAACAACATCAGATAGGATGAGTGCACACCATTTGACAGCATTTGAAAACTTTCCAGTCAAGGGGAATGTTCCATTTCATTTCCCACCAAAACAAAGTGCAAAATTTCAACTAGGAGCATAGGAATGCTATTGAAAGGCAAAATTATGAAACAGTGATTTTCTGACCATTCCAGTAACTCTGAAGGTATTTCATTTTTTTTTTTGAAAATTTCTGTTGGTATTGGTTTCCCATCGGGAAAACCAGTTTTTTCATGCAAATGGAAAGTGTCCAGTTTCAAAGTCTTGGTTTCTTTTGCAAAAAGATATCCGGTAAGATGTGATGAATGGTTTGACAGATTGCGGCTGAAACCAGACCTATGATCTCTCAAAAATTTCCATAGTGCTCGGTCAAACGGCTCTATTCTACTTTAAAGTCCTCCTAACACCACAGTCCTTGAAAAACAAGTATGAAGCATAAAACTAGTAAAAAGGTTGCAAGATTGAAATTCAAAATAGAGCGCAAATGTCATGAACTGCAGGAGTCGCACCATAGGAGACAAACATTACAACAGAGTTTGGCATGCGCTGCCCGTCACTTATAAAGGTTACTGACAGATGTGCATCATAACTTCGTAGTTGGACCAATAGAATCACTCGGTCACCAGAGTGCTGGGCATTCAAAATGTTGTATGAAACCATTGCAGTCTCCCTTTTTGCTTGTCCTCCGATGCCCGTGCTACCAGCGGCTTGCAGCATCATGTTCGCTGCTCGCATGTCACGCTCACAGTCATACTCACACGCTTACTTGTTTATCCATTCTTCCCCACAGTTTTCAAAGAAAAGAGAGACTGCTCGCAGTCTAAGAACATTTATACCCACCACCAAGGTCATTGGCCTAAAATTTGAAAGAAATGAAATTTTAAAGGAGTGGGGTGGGAGTTCGTTCCAAAAAGCCTTTCTTGGGAAGGGTATGGATATTTTCTCGAACAAGACAGTTTTGATTCACTACTCCTTCAATTCTTTAGCATCTTGAAGTAAAATTTAACAACAAATTAATTTTATTACTAATTAAAAGTAAATGTTTGCATATGGCACTCCAGTGTATTTTGTCATAAAATACCGTCATAAAACAGGTCTTTTTTTTCTTGGAGTATATGATGTATCCCCTGGGAGTGGGAGGCACCGTGGCCTCTCAAGATTAGTGTGCTGGACTCTGGGTTCACCCACTTCACTGATCTGGGTTGGAGTCCTGGCCACTGGGTCACTGTGTTGTGTTCTTAGGAAAAACATTTTACTCTCACAGTGCCTCTCTTTACTCAGGTGTATAAATGACTGTACTGGCAAATTGAATGCTGGGTTAACCCAGCATTGAATGGGGATGGTTAGGTGGTGGGTTTACCTAGTAAGGGACTTAGTGTTCTTGATTTGTATGCCCACCTGCCTTGATCATGGCAAATCTGTAAAATAAAAACAAAAAAATAAAATAACCCTGTGATGGACTAGTATCACATCCAGGATGTAGAGTAGAAATATGCTGTAGCCACTTTGTGCTATAGAAACTGAAGATAACCACCAGCATGGGCCACTTGCTTCATTTAGCACTGAATTAAGCCCTTTTACTTTATGGGGACCAGATTTGTCAGGTGTTCCACCATAAGATTGTACTCGGTAATTAATATTATGCAGACAATTAACTTTCATTGTTATTATTTTCATCAGCTGGACAGCCAGCTCCCAAATTAAAGAGAATTAACGAAGAGGAAGAAAATGGTAAGTTACAGACAGTCTGTCTAAGAGATGGGTGTCTTGAATACCTGGGCTTGGTTGTTCAAAAGAGCATTAAGCTAACTTTAACTGGCTGTTTATTCAAAGGTTAGCTGTATGCTAGCTTTGAACAACAAAACTAACAGGTCCCAGTTGTTTAAAGTGTGCATAACACTATGCACTGGATAAATCACTATCCAGTGGACAGTGTATGTAGTTTGTTTGACCAACACTTACCCGTAGGATAGTAATTTATCCAGTGAGCAGTGTTATCCAACCTTTAAACAACTGGCCCCAGGAGGTTTTATGCTAACCTCACGCTAAATAGATTTTAACCCTTGGATTGAGAGCCCCAGTTCTAGGGCTGGTCATTTGTGTCTTGTTCTTGGACAAGACACTTAACTGTGACAGTACCTCCCATTCCCTCCTGGGGTTATATTAATTGCTACCGGTGAACTGTTATGTGGTGAACTATTGGCAGCATCAGAGTAACCTGGGGGAGTGTATGTAATGTGTGTGTGTGGCGGGGGGTGGGGTGGGGGGTGAGAAACCCCAGAGCCTTGAATTGGGAGGGGAGGGTAGAGGAAGAAGGAGTGAAGGGTATGGGCTGCAGAAACTTTAGTTAAACACTTCCAAACCCTCGTACACATATATTTCATATCTACCCAGTTTTATGAAGTGATGTCCGATAAGATTGGTCTATCACTTTCAGGTATTACCCAATCAGGGTTGGCAGTGAAGAGTCAGTCAACGAAATACTTCAGATCTTTTTCTTGCAAGAACATCGTGAAAATTTCACTTGTCTTTCAGTTCAAGGTTGAAAAGAAAACAGTTTTCCTTGCGATTGCTATGCATTTGGTGGTACCTCAAGTTGATAATGTTTTCTATTCTCATCACCTGTTTGAATGACAATGTAAGGAGAAATTTGATGTGGATCACTCTTGAGGATGAAAGAGTTTTTATTACCTTTATCATTTCAACAGCTAGCCAGTCATCTTCTAGACAAAAGTTATCGTCACGTCCTGTTACAGAGAGCAATGGACATGCAGGGAGGATTAGAGAGAACGAGGAAAGTGGTGAGTTTATCTGCTGTCAAGTTGTAGCTGATTAACTGAGAAGTGTAGCTTCCGGAAAACCTTAAGGAAGAGTCTTTAATATCGACTTAATCACGACTTTAATGTTCACAGTTCTCGAATCTGATTGGACACCAGTAGACCCTGGATTATTGATTGACTGATTGATTGATTGATTGA